GTGAGATAACACTGGGGCAGGGACAGACTGTAAAAGGAGCCCATTTCTATGTGTATTCTCTCAAATAGTCATCCCTGGATTGGTCGATATCAAAATCCAATTTCACTAGGATTAGCTGTGGGTTGCTCAGAGCTATTCATTGAATTAGGAACGATTATAGCAGAGGGAGCCCCACGGTTCTTTATTAAGGTCTTTGTGGAAACACTAAGTGATCTTCAGGAGATTAAAGTGCTGGTGGTGTTTTCTTAACATTTATAACCTATGCCAATACCTGGGGAGTTTGTTTATTAAGAAAAATTCTTCAACCAACAGCCTCCCGATAGGGTTGTGCCACAGTGGACCAACACAGAACCTGTCATGGCAGACCCTAAGGCCTTTGTTCAGAACTTATGCCAAGCGCTTCAGAGAAATCTTCCTCTTGGAGTAAGAGGTCTCCAATTCAGAGAGTCTGTGAGTCTTCCTGGGTGGTTAGAAGACTGGTCCTCAGAGCTGTATATGTCCATGGTCCAGAGAAACTGAGAGCAAAACTAAAATGAGAGCTGTTGGTACTTGTCTTGATTGATGCAGGCTTACTAAGTGGGGCTTAACCATCACTGTCTCATTAGGAAAAGTCCACCACAGGTGAATAATTACCATTTTATTCATTTTAACACTAAAGTGTAGAATGATGATGATTTTTTTAGAAACTGACAAAGGACCTCCCACCCTGACAGAGGGGGACAAGCACATAAGGGCAGGTGTCCAGCCTGGCCTGGTGAAGGGAAGGTTCCTGTCTCGCTTCTGTTCAGACTAGAGCATTCTCCTTTCTTTTGGCCCTTGTTGGAGGCTAGCTCTTTTGAGAGTCTCCAAGTGCCCAGAGATAGTACTAAAAATAACATAGTCATTCCTGGAAAATAGCCACTAATTGAACATGCTCTTCTGGTTTTGTGTTTAGAAGGAAACTGGATGGCAGCTTCCAAATATATGCCCATGGTATAACCTCTGTCAACTGTTGAGACCTTATTTGAGGGTCTTTGCAGATAGAATGACATTAGTGATCTCAAGTCATTCTTCCTTAAAATGGGCTCTAAATCTAATGACTAGGTTTTGTCAGAAGAGAAAGTTTGGAGCAGACTTGAGTGAGGAAGGCACACAGGGAAGGGGACTATGTGAAGACTGAGGCAGGTCAGGGTCACAAAGCCACAAACCGAGAGATGCCCAGAAGCAGAAGCTGGAAGAGGCAAAGAAAGGAGGTTGGTCCCACAGAAACCATGGTTCTAGATTTTTATGTGCATTACTCTGGTATAAAATGTTCGATTGCTGTAAGCCACTAAACTTGTGATAATCTGTCTGGAGACAAACCCAGAGATTGTGCTGAGCAGCTGTGAGAGAATGGCAACTTATTCAGCAGGGAGGTGTATCTTTGTTTGTGGTTTCAGAGCTCTTAGCCCATGGTTATGAAGTAATAGGGCATTGTGGAGATGTGTAAAGGAGGACCGTTCACTCTGTGATACCCGGAAACAAAGGAAGAAGAGCAGGTCCTGTCCCTGTGGTGACTTCACTTACTTCTGTGAAGTGTCAGCTTTTACAAGTGATGCCAACTCCCAAAGTACCAAGGGTTATTCACCAAACTGTATCTAACACATGCAGGCAGCATGCCAGATCTGAACCCCAGTGGACACAGAAAAGCACAGATTTGTTCCAGGAATCTTTTCCTTGAAAATTCCAAGAGATATACATAGGTAAAGCCCACTTTGGCCTAAAAAGTAATGATCGTTCTCTGTATAAAAGATGGGGACTCCTTGCTCTGAGATTACTGCCTCTTGTGCCTGCCCCTATATTTTTGTCCCCATCTGAAGCCTGCAGGCCATGACAATTATTGTCATTTTGAAGATGAGCAAGCTGTAGGCACAGAGATGTAAGGTATCCAGTGCTGGATTAGCAGTTGGTGGTAGTGGAATTGCACACTAGATGGAGTGGTTCCATAACCCTGGTTGTAGCACAGTTGGTCCCCTTGGACACAGGCACACACAGCTTGAAATGGCCTTTTTGGTTATCCTTTCTCACCCCATAGAGTTTGACATCCCCCTTCACTCCTTCTCACTAACATATAAAAGTTAAAAACAATTTGGATTTAGTTTTCATTTTACATGTTTTTGGTAAAAATCATTTCTACCATAGCTATCCCTACATAATAATTTATGGATATTTGTATAAATGTGTATACTACAAAAACGATTAATCGAGCGGTGTATGTTTTCATCAAAGGAAACACCACAAAGATTTCTCCAAAGTCTTGTTTGACTAGAGATGATTAATTTTAATTTTTACATGAGCAGCATAATGCTATTAATCATTTAATATGTTTAATCATAATCTCTGTAATTCCTAATTAGGTTTATTAAGCTGAGCCATTCAGCAATTGTGCACAAATCCAAGTCTAAGTCCCTTTCTTGGGAGGAAGAGAAAGTAATTTTACTTTTTTATTCACAGAGTCATTTCTAATAGGGTGGAGAAACTGGGCTGGAAACTTGGCTTCTTGGCTATTGCTTATGTCAACTTTGGATCTTGTGGTAGGACACTGACGCCTCTTACTCTTTAGCAAAATAGCAATATCATGATTTAAAAGTAGTTTCTTTGTCAATGATGTGCGACCCAACATGCTGTTACAAAACAGAAAAACCAAAACACCACAGCCCCTGCTCTGCGTGGGCTCAATGTTACAGAATGATGTGTGTGTGTGTGTGTGTGTGTGTGTGTGTGTGTGTGTGTGTGTGTGTACATGTGCCATGGTGTGCATGAGGAGTTCAGAGGTCAGCTTCAGGCATTAACTCATGTCTCCCTCCTTGTTTGAGATGGCCTTTCATCATTGCTGTGTTTACAAGAAACTGCCTCTGAGCTTCCATGAATCCTCCTGTGCCCACCTCCTGTTTCATGGTGGGAGTCCTGAGACTGTAGACACATACCACCATGTCCAGGTTTATGGAGGTTCTGAGGTGGCAAACTCAAACCCTCCCTCATGCTTGGACAGCAAACAGTTCTCCCAGTGAACTTCCTTCCTAGCTTACACAGTTATTCACTACCTAGTGTTTGAAGCTGACAAACATGATATCCATTCATTTATATATTATTCATTTATTAGTTGTACACTAATTTCCATGTTTTCAGTCTGTAACTGCACCAGCCATTCATGTAGTAAGCATTTAACATTCATGTAACATGCTGGTCACAACTTACCCCCACTGTTCTCGTTAAGTGGCTTCTAACAGCCACTTGCTCTTGTGTATGTGAATCATTTGAGTCTACAACTTTTACCTACCTTTGAAGTCTTCCCTTTTGCTCATCCTCTATTTATTCTGACTCCAGATAGCCTCCCCAAAATGAAAGACTCCCCCCTTACATGTTTCTATCATGGCACATGCTTTGCACTATCTTGGCACAATCTGTCCCCTACACCTATCCTAATACCTCTCTCTACTAAGCTTGAGTCTGTATGTCTTGGGACCTCTGGTGGCAAGTGTGACTTGAGCTTACTCAGTCCCTCCCCCACAAAGAACCAACTGCATTACAATTTGTTTTGTTTTTCAACCTCTTACTAGACCATCTCCCTCTTCACACTTGAGGCAAAATAATATGGTTGTCAGCTCCATATTACATTTGAAAGTTGGCAAAGTCATCTGGTAGGGTTTCTGATACCAAATCAATTTACATGGAAAGTGAACAAGGCACTAGGAGGTCTTGACTTTAACATGTAATCCAGAGTGTGTGAGGAAGGAGGATGCAAATAAAATATCCTAGTACACAGGAGATGTGGAGAAAATTGCTAATTATGCTCCTGTTATTTAGGTGTTTCTTTTACATTTCAATATGTAAGATTGTCTCCTTTAAGTATCTATTATTTTACACCTGGCTGCCTGCACTGATAGTTTTGTCCTAGTTATAGTTATATGCTTCTAAATTGCTTATAAATAGATGAGGATGGTTCTTTACTCACGAATTTCAGCTTTGGCAAAGATCTACAGTAGTAGCTTCAAAGAAATGTGTCTTACGTGGATAGTGTCTACTGCCACCCACAGGCATAATATGCTAATTGCAAAGAAAGTACAGAAAAAGAATATCCATCAATGGCAGCAATTAATGTGACCTTTCTCTTAGTTCCTGCCTTTATTGTAGGTAGCAGAGTGATAGCATAGTATCCTAACATATTCCTGTGTGGAGTAGAACAAAAGGAAATAATGGACTATGCTAATACCCTTATATTATCTACACCAGTATAACCCAGCAGGGCTTTTTGTACAGATGGAAATATTCAGTTTCTGCCTTTTCCAACACAGGCACTACTTACGTGTGGCTATTGAGTATTTAAAATGTAACAAATGCAAACAGACCCATTTACTTAAAGTTAAATGATCTCTGGGATCTGTGGCAGTACAAAACACAGATTTTTACAATTAAAGAGCTAAGTTGACATCCCAAGAAATACTTGAGTCAATCCTCTGCTTCTCTGGATGAATGGCAAATCACCAAAGGGCCTTTGCAATTTTTTGACATTTATTAATATTTTACCTGCACAGCCTCAGTACTTACATATGAATAGCATAAGAATTCAGGCAGCATTAAGGGGTGCATTTTCTTATTTCTAATAATCTTTACTCCATTTCTGATGAGGCTTCCATTACTTACCCTGATCCCACAGACCCTCCTAGCCTCTGCTTTTTTTATTTTACCCACAGTGTCTATCTCCTTCTTCCCTACTATACATTCATTTATGAATGGTTTTTATTATGCCTTCCCACTGCAAGAGTTACAGCACATGAAGCCAGGGAGTTTTGACTGCTTTCCTTGATATGGAATCTCAGACCCCTGATTGGGAACTCAGTGAATATCCAAAGCATACTTTTGCCATTAAATGTAAAAAACAAAACAACCAAGAAGCTTTGTCTGACACCATCCCTTCAGGAGGGAAAGGGGGAGGACAGAGTACTTACAGCTACTTTGCTTTCCTCTTGTTCCTTTAGCAGACAGATGATGCAGCACCGACTGATGGCCAGCCCCAGACACAACCTTCTGAAAACACGGAAAACAAGTCCCAGCCCAAGCGGCTGCATGTGTCCAACATCCCCTTCCGGTTCCGGGATCCAGACCTCCGACAAATGTTTGGTGTAAGTACTACTTTTGTCCTCAGTTTCCCTTCTTTTGGGAATTCCAGGAACTTATCATTCTAAGGTTGAACGTTCTTGTCAGATGAAGGAATTTTAGCAACTGATTCCTGGGTCTGTAGTAGCTAGAATCCCTTAGGGTTTCTTCTTTGCCAGTTTGTTGTCTTCTAGTAAGTAACTCATGATAAGATCCACTGATGATCACAAATCTAGCAGCCCAGGACCTCACTGAAACAAATGCTGAAGCCCTTGCCTTCTTTCCTAAAAGAATGGCCTATGAGTGACTCGACCCCCATTTTCCCCAGGCACTGTGCACTGCAGCTACAGTGAATGGCTAGTTCTACATAAAGCTGAGTCTTCTATATCAGCTACCACCACCACCAAAAGACTACCAGTTTCTAAATCTGATTTGATTCTTGCAGTTTACAGTTTCCTAAATGAAGGTTCAAGTGTATTTACCATGCTGCCAAGGATGTCAAAGGGCAGCCTGTCTAGGCACCATGGTGAAGCAGAACCAGCCAGAAGCCACCACTCACCCTGAGGAAAGAAATGATGGCTTCACTTTCTCACAGGTCACCATGACCCTGAATATTTATCAGGAAGATGTTTGGACAATCCACCCAGGGAAGAGAAGAGCTTACTATTTATTCAGTCTCAGCTATGCCACAGAACACAGTTTTGACGAGGCTCAGATCAAGTCTTGTGTTTTGAAATGTAGTCACTCTGTGTATCCCTGAAATCCCAGGAGTAATAGCAAGCATCTGTGCATTTGACCAAAGAACTACATCCTTAACATTTGACTCAGAACAAAGGTTGGTTGCTTGGAGACTCCTCTAATGGTTTGCGGAGAGCTGCAAATATCACAACAGCGGTTAGAAGAGGCCAGGTCAGATGTCTCATTGTGAGCACAGCTCATCTTATCCTCTGCATGAAGATGAAGCCCTGCTTCAATACTCAAGGTTTCCATGACTTGGGGGGAGAGCTCGGACCTTTTCTTTCTTTAACACACACATGATGCTTATCGAGTATGCATGTGACACAAAAGCAGAGCAGGCATCCTAATATTTTAGATACCCAGGCTTGAATCCTGACATTTCAGAGGAAAAGGTCAGCTTTTGCACTTTTATCACTCTCTCATTTGGTAATAACCTTGAGTTAAGCCCTCTAACTCTTGCAGAACGAAGATACCCTCAGGCACCCTCAGGTCAAAGATGACTTTGAAAAGTGCAGAGCATTCGAAGTTAGAGTCGAGGTTAAGTGTGGGCAAAGCAGTGGGACCCAGCTTGACTGATGGGTAGCTGGAAGAGTTATATTCTCTTTGCCATGTCAAGCCAGGGGATGTCTTGCTATTCCATCTGTCTTTACTCATCAAGCGTCACTGTGATGTTGGCTTTGAACTGGATTCTCTTAATGACCATTCTCAAAATCTTTCATGGTGACATGTAAGGCAGCCAACCTCAGTTTCTCACTCTTAAGGGTCTATTTTCTTCCCTGGACTTTTTGAATATCTTGAACTTTACCTGAGGCTACAGAGAAGGAGTCAAAATTCTCGCAGCTGGAAGTCACACTAATAAGATGATGTGTATGCTAATATCTGACTCTCTTTAGGGTTAGGGTGGATGGCCTAAAGAAAGAATTTGTTATGTGTCATGCTACGTGGTAGTAAACCCAGATCAAAATCTATTTGTTTCAGAAAGACTCGTTTTGTTTTTTCTTTTGAGTCAAAATTTTCACGCAGCTAGCTAACAAGATGTTGATTTGATATGATGATAGATATACCCTTAGCATCTGTCAGTTAAGGGAATGTAGGATACATTCATGAGCACTGAAATTAATTCTACGTATTACAAACAACATCTGTGTCTGTGTTAAAGAGTATGTGTGGATTTTGTGTGGTGTGGATTTCATCTATAAAAATTATTGGACCATATGGACTCATGGACCGCTTGCAGTAACTTGGGAGTCCTCTTTGGTTTTTACAACTGCTATTTTAAAGAAATGGAATTTTCCTAAGATGAACACTCGTGGTCACAAAGCCGTTCAATTATACGATACATTTAGCAGCATGAATCATACTGAGAGGCATCTGGAACTTTCTGCTTAGCTCCCCATGGCAGAGTTTAGGGGATTCAGCACAGTTTCCTCTTTCAGATCTTAGTTACTGTAAGCAACCATGTTTTAGTCTCAGTTAGTTACTGCTCTAAGCTTTTGGCCATGAAACAGTATGTTTCTTTTCCTTTCTCTCTTCTGACTTCTGTCTCCTTGCTTGGGCATGGGGTTAGATGAGGACAGTAACAGAGAAAAACACAAAGATCTTTGTGCCTCCTTCCTCCTTTGACTATTGTTCAAGCAAGGCACAGAAATTTCAATGTCAAAAACAAGATACAAAGTACCCTCTTTTTCCAAATTACCTAGAACTTGTTAGTTTCCAACTTCTCCACATGGTTCTGGTAGGTATCTCATGTTTTATTTTAATTTGTGCTTTTTGTACCTTTCCAGAGAGACAGGCATTATAGTTACCTCTCTTTGTTGTGTATTTCCCATTCTCCACTTTCATCTTTGTCAGGGGGCACTTCTTCCAAAGCTGACATTAAGTTCTGCTTCACATTACATTTCTTTCCATGCTGTCTTTTAAAGTAGGTGTGGTCAGCGGCACAGGTATCTAAGATTTCTCCCTACAGTGGTGTATTCATTCCTTGGGTGAGAAGTGCATGTTATAATATACAAAGCAGTAGCTAGAGTCCTTTTAAATCATCCATGGCTCTATGAGTGAATGGGGATAGGGTAGTTATTAGGAGCAGTTATTCCAGATGTTTCCATAGGAGAACTGAAAAGGGCTGTCAGCCCTGGCTGGGTGCCTCTTGAGGTCTGCTGGGGGCACTGTGGACAGTGCTTAAGCTCACATCCATTCACAGTTTAATTTTCATTTTGCTGTGTTTTATTTTGTTGGTTTTTGAGACAAGCTCTCATCATGCAGCCAAAAACTGACTTAAAACTTGCTGGCCCCAAACTCTCAATCCACCTGCCTCACCTTCCAAGTTTGTGGGGATACAAACATGTAACAACTTACTTCAGTTTCTTCTTGCCCATATTTAGAGAGTGTTCCAAAAATGTATTTTATTTAATGTGTCTGGCAAGTAGTCAGGGAATTTACTGCCTTGATTTAGAAGAAGGTTTTGTCATTATTTATCTGCCAAATTTATAAGTGTGGCTCACAGGCAGTCATGATTAGAGACCGGTATTTTCATATCAAAGTTCTACACTTGAATTCTTGATATCATAAAAGAACTGTGTGGATTACAACTAAATTTATTACAATGTGTTGCTCTCAAATGAAAAATACATAATATAAGTTAATGTTTAAAATTTAAATGTTTCTGGGTTTGAGATGAGAATAGACTATGATTTATCCAGACCCCTGGTATAATACATGGCACAACAAGATTGGTTTATTTTAAAAATAGTGTGATCAGTTGGCAGTCTGCAGTTTGTAGCATGCTCTTGATGTCACAGCCTCTTGGTTTTGTTATCAAACTCAAGGTGCTCCAGGAGCTGGAGAGACGACTCAGTCATAATGTGATTGGAATACAGATGCATAGGCCAGCATCATCCCCAGTACTTATGTGAAAAAAATCAAGAAGTGGTGGCCCATGCTTACAATGCCAGCATTGGAAAGGTGACATTAGGATCCCTTAGCTTGCTGGCCAGCGAGCCTAGGCCACTTGGCAAGCTCCAAGTCAGTGAAAGACCCTGTCTCAAAACCCAAAATGATTTTGCTTGAGGAAGGACACATGAACTTGTTGCTTAGACTCCACATACATGCACATGTGCATGCATGGGCACCTGAACACACACACACACACACACACACACACACACTCATCTGTATACACACTGAAACATACATGTGCATATACACACAATAAATAAAGACATGCTGGATAGGAATGGGATCAATTTGCATCTGTCTTTAGTTATAAAAACAAAATACACAACTGTTTTACCTGTGAAAATGACGCTTGGATGGTGCCTTTTGGTGAATACAGTGCAGATGAACCTCCTTGAGCCTTTCATGTTAATATAACACTCGATAAAACAGGGCATTAGGAATAGTAAAGGCATTTTGAGGACATGTCACAGTGCCTACTCTTTCTGGACTGAAACCACCTTAAAAACTACTCAAGAAAATATCACACCAATTGGGTGTCTAGTGCCAAATGGTCAGCAATGAAAACATACAAACAGGTGGCTTTATAGGGACTGAATGGGTTGTGTTTAGAAATGTAGCAGGATGGTGGTAGTACACATCTTTATTCCCAGTATTCGAGAGGCAGAGGTAGGTGGATTTCTGTGAGTTTGAGTCCAGCCTGGTCTACAAAGCAAGTTCCAGGACAGCTAAGGGATGTTACACAGAGAAACTCTGTCTCGAAAAAACAAATATCATGTGTGTGTGTGTGTGTGTGTGTGTGTGTGTGTGTGTTCTGTATAGACATATGTATCTATTCATGCAATAACAATTAGTAAAAGAAGAGAGGGAGCATGAATTTGAAGAGTGGGGAAGGGTGTGTAACATGTTTAGAAGAAGGAAATAGAAGGGAGACATGTAATTAAATTATAATCCCAAAAGTAAAAGAGAAGTTTTAAAATGAAGCACCAGTGTGAATCCTTTCTTTAGTCTCAGTGCATGCTGTAGCTGCTGAACATCCTTCACAATTTTTTTCTGAGAAACATTATTTGATCTAAAGATATCTGAAACTGCTCAGCACATATTTGCCCAAGCACACACATATAGACTTCTGGATTTTGGTCTTGATACAGCCATTGAGATGCCTCATGTGGGTCCAAGATACTGCTCAATGCTCATGAACATTGTCGTTGAGCAAACAAATGCTAGTTATGTCTGAAAACGAGCCATGTCTATTTAAACTGAAGATGTGCCAGCTGTGTTGGCATCATTAGTACCAAACTTCTCAATTAAACTGTTGATACTATAAATATAGTACACAACTGTCTCAGAAAATGGGCTTGCTTCAGCATTCTTCTTATGGCTCGTTTCACTGGCTTCCAGAACCATCCCCTCAGTGCCACCTGCCAAGGAAGCAAACATTGGAGATCATTCCAGGGCATATGGTGTCATTGTTTCATTTAGGGAATGACACATGCTAAGATGGCTTTCTGATCGGTTCGGTCTCATCCAGTTCCTATTTTAAGGGAAGTGTTTTGTGTTGACTGCTTAGGGAGTGTTCCATGGGTGACATTTGCTTCATGGTGTTGGAAGATGTCTTTTTCAGCCTTCTCTTTCCATAAATATATGTGCTTCTAGGCTCTGATGCCTGAAATAAATATAAAAGCATCTGTGGGAATAGAATATTCTGCAGCAGTTGTTCTTTTCAAGTGCTTACACAGTGGCGGATTCTTTACTATGGATCTTGGTTCACCTCTGAATGGCCAATTCTTCATTTGTCACATTGGAAAGTTTTCTTTGTCTGTTTTTAAATGAGCTTTTTCCTTCTGCCCTGAAAACTGGCACAACAAATGTTCTAAAGGGCTAGCAAGATGTTTCAGGAGATAAGATACTTGCTGCCAAGCTTAGCACACTATATTCAACCCCTAATACTCTGACCTCCACATACATGCCTTGGCACATGCGTGCATACATGCAGATACACACACACCAACTAACTAAATAAATAATAAAAATTTTAAATAATAAGTATTTTCTTGAGTGCTAGTAGCAGACATCTCTTGCCATTGATTCTCCAAGTTTCCATCAATTCACAGACCTAGGCATATTGGTCAGGGGAACTATTCAGCTTCATGGAATTATTATTCTTTGTCCCCTTTTGATCTGGTCTGACCCCTTCCCAACATCTCTATCTTTTGTTATGGAACCTTGCTTAGCACTCCCATCCAAGGATGAAAGAATGACAAAGACTCTCCCTAGGTAACAAGACCACAGTGGATACCCAGAATGCACAGTCAGACAGACCATGACAGGAAAGTACCAAATGAAAACAAAAAATTCCTGAAGTGTGGTTCTTCAAGTTGGTGGCTTCTGATGCAATCTGGGAGTGGGGACCTCAGTTGTCTTTAAGGGGCTGGACACTGGAACTATCACCATTCACCAATGAGTATATGGACAACACAAATTAACCTTCATGTATTCTTTTCTTTGGGGGGGCACAAAGGTAGGAGGAATTACAAGTAAGTATGATTTCCAAAATAATCAATGGAGAAATATGTTGGGGAAAAATAAAGACAAGGAAGGAAGGAAGGAAGGAAGGAAAGAAGGAAGGAAGGGAAGGGAGGAAACAATCTGCAGGATTGCATTCCACTGGTTTTTGTTTCTTTGTTCAGTCATTAAAATTAGTGTTTGCTTTCCATTGTGCATTGAGGCAAAATTCCCATCTTATTCTTCCCTGGGCCAGGCTGCCTGTTTTACAACAGCCCCTTCCACCACCATTATGGGGACCAAACTATATTCTTGAAACACTTGTTCCATTTTCTATATCTGGGAAACACAAGAACCTTAAGGTAGAGAGGATTCAGGGTTATCAGATGCTCATGCTCTCAGATGCCCCAGTGAAGAATTGTTTGATGGGCAATACTCACCAAGACTGCTAAATTTAATATTTTGTCACTAGCACACACACACAGACAATAGTCATATTTTAATTTTATATAAACAGCAAGTGTCTTATCTTACATCCTAAATATTTTGTGGGACATATTATTAATATGTAATAAAAATTACAGGTCACAAATATTACATAGCCTATAAAGTCTGAAATTTAAATGTCAATGGTCATTTTTTGCCTGTCTGGATATTTGATATCTGAAACTTTGTTTTGGGACCTTTTATAGAGCCAGCTCATTTTATAGAGCCAGTTTATTCAAGAGTACAGACTGTCACCTGGGGTAGGGGATGGGCATCATCCTGGACCCATCCTGGCTCTACAGATGTCTGGGTTATGAGCACCTGGGGCTTTCACATGGTCTGGTTGCTCCTGGTTTTGCTGTGAGCTCAAATCTACAAACTTTCAACATCACATTCTAGTTGGGTACTTTATTATCAAAATCTCAGCTCCTCAAGGTGTTTATCTCAGTAGCTGGTAGAAATTTTGTATAGGTAATGACTAGCCATTAGGAATCTCTGCTGCTCAGTGCCTGGGAAAGCACACACACACGCACACACACACACACAGACACAGAGAGAGAGAGAGAGAAGAGAGAGAGAGAGAGAGAGAGAGAGAGAGAGAGAGAGAGAGAGAGAGAGAGAGAGAGAGACTTAACTTCTTCGTTAATATTTTGTCCTGGGTTCTGATAGTGTACCTCACCTTTTAGAAAAAGATAAATTGAGTATAATGAATATGTTGCCATTTTCTCGTTTTAAGCATTGTCACTTAGTAACTCAACAAAATAACAATGTGTACTTTTAACTCAGGGAAGTCCCTATGACTTGAGGAGTAATTACTGGTGTATATTGTATAATTTATCTGATTTCTCTGTTTGCTCATGAGATGTCTCTGTTTCTTTGCAGCAATTTGGTAAAATATTAGATGTTGAAATTATTTTTAATGAGCGAGGCTCGAAGGTAAGCAACTTGATTCAGTTTGGAATTTCTTAGCTCATTGTAACATGTCTGTTTGGGGTAAGGGGAAATAACTGCACTGTTTGGGTCAGTACCCTGAGAATTACACTTTGGTGGGAATTTCTTTAGAGACCACCTCCCATTTCCTTAATGTTGGGAAATGCATTGGGTTCCATTTAAAATGTATAGGAGTTAAATTTTAGTTGCTGGTCTAAATACATAGAGAGATATAATTACATATCTTAAGTTTCCAGAGAAAAATTACCTATGCTTAAAAAATAATGATGTTGCTACATTTTTTGTTTTTCAGTGATAATTATGTTCTTTATATTAAAAAGTGAGTTGATAGTCTCATGAGCAGGTAAATATGTGATTACTCTGTATTAATAAAGTGCAGTTCTTTTCCTGGGTTGCAGAGGAGCAAATTCTCATATACACCAACCTTTTGAATATATCTTTATTCATTAGTATGTTATAAATCCTCCTTTTGTAGTGTGCTATTGTATAGAGTTTATTTCCTTACCAGGAAACCAACATTTAAACCACTTTTTCCTAGATCTGACAAGTATTCATGGAAGGCTCTGAGAGAAGTTTCCAGTATCTACATATCTTTCATCTTCCTTCCATCCTTAGCCTCTGAGAATGGATATTGGGAATATTGCTATCAGATACAGAGAGATGCTGGCTGGGCTTAATAATGACCCTTCTATAGGCAACACAGGACAATAGGCACCCAGCAGGCCCCCTCAGTGTCACTGTTCTGTAGTGTGTCACATGGCACAGTAACCACACTATGAAGCAAACCTATGACTTACCAGTCCTTACAGCATCTGCTCTCTGTCCACTCCATCCTAGGTAGATTTAACACTGACTGAGAAGGACAGTGCTGATTGAATTGAGCAAATAAAATTCCAGGACTTGCTTTATATACAAAATGATATTGTAAACTGCCAGATGGTTGGAAAGTCAATCAATTGTAAGTTTTCACTTCTGCTCATTCAGGAATCTGGTTATTCTTTGTCAAGTTTAGCTATTTTCCAATCATTCTTATAGTCTGCCCGCTGAACTGGGGTTAGAGGAAGAAGTTAGCTGTTTCTTATATGGAATCAATTGAAGCTAATATTTTTATACCTGTGGAGCAAGGTGCACTAAGAGAAAGATATACTCAAGGCTAAGCCTTCTTGCTTGGGCCTGATGGATTCTTGGCAAAGCTGGTAAAGATGAGGTAGAATATGTCCCAATCCTGGTTCTGAGTCTCTTTGTCATCATATCATTGCTTTGTGGGCTCTTTATCATATCATTGCCTTGTGGGCTCTTTTTTTCTCCCTTGTTGTTTGTGGCTTGATTTAAATTATTACTTAATTTACATTTTGTTTACTAAGATGTTTGTCAGTTGAAGAAAGCTGTTTCATTCCTTTCTGAGAGATGTTTGGGGACACCACTACAGTACTGTTGACTATTTTCAAAGTACAATAGCATGCTAATTTTAGAACTTTTCCCATCATCTCCTTGATTATCCTGTCCCTGGTGGCTTCAGGGAAAAGGTTATTTCCATTTCAGCATCTGCAGCCTGGACTTTGTTGGGCTGTTTTGTTTTCCTTTGCTCTTTTTTTCTTTTAGATTAGGAAACATCCAAACTTGCCTTTTGTCTTTCTGGGTGGGAACACTCTACCTTCAGTTGTGGGTACTGGGTGGTGTCATGTCTCTGGAATGTCCCTGAGACAGTCTAGCTGGGAATGCTACCTGGGACAACATCTTGCACAAGTATAGTTGTCATATTTGACATCTTTTGAGGAAAGGGCCTTATTTAGAAGTCATTTCCATTCTTGCCCTCAATAAGTGGGACCATTATTAGGATCTCATTTCCATCCGTTGTTGTCTCAGTTGGCCAGGAAACCAGTGCCCCCAAAGGGCCAGGAACTCTTCTCTTGGTCCTTTATTTTCCATAGGACACTTCCTGAGGCAGATGACTCAAAGCTGAGTGAGGATGACTATACACATATGGGTGTATGCCCACTCATGCACACACCAGATATGCCTGCAGTGTTTTGTAAACACACCACCTGAGTATTTTGTATATAGATGGATACTATAGGAAAGACACAGCTTCAAAAGGAATGACAGACTTGATCATCAGAACCAGACTGCATGCAGGAGTAATGAATTACTCAGTTATTCTTTTAGGAGTTTGCGAAATCATTCTTTTGCTTCTGAAATGTTCTGTTTCTGGGAACAGTCAGATTTAGCTATTCTCTAACTTACCTTAGAAATACACAGTTGGGTCTTTGATTTTGTATATATACACCCATAATAAGTATCTCTTGACTAGTTCCTCTCCAGGTGAATGATTCTTGAGCAAGACAGACATGTTTCTTCTAGCCCTTAGCTTTTATGAATATCAGGAAAGACCAGTCATGAACATCTGTCATAAAATACACCGCATTTTGCCATGACACGAGAGGCTGTTGAAACTCTAAGCATATAGTTGGGGGTCTGGATGCTTTTTGAGAGAAGGAACTAAACTGAGGGTGAATTTGGGAAGGAGGGAGGAAGGGAAAAGATAATATCTTACAAAGAGAAGGAGCTGTATTTGTAAAAGTCACTGGAGAGATGTGAAATGGGAGACTCTTAGTCATTAGGAAAATTAATTTAATGACTCTTTCAACTAAATATGTGTTTTCTGCATTGGAGATGGGAAAACTTGAATTATCATATCAAATAGGGTGTGTTCATTCCACCTTACAGGTAGCTTTGGAATCTTGATTTAAGATACAAAACAGGGTGTCCACATGAATGCCCCAAAGGAAATCCACACCTAAAAGCACTAGACCCAGGAAGGGAAAGTGAGCAGGATACAGAACTGTCAGTTTATGATTCTCTAAAAGGCTTTGAGATCAGCAAGATGTGCTCTGGGACTCCATCTTAGTTTACCCAGTCCTTCATGCCCATCTACGCAGCAAGAAGTGTTCTTCTCTCAGCTCTGACTCCCTGGCCTGTCCGGGCAGACCTGAGAAGGTGTGTCTCTCAGTGGAAGGACACTGACCACAGTCTGAACTCCACCCCACCTCCTTTCCTCTCTCCCTGCCTTCATCCCTCCTTCTTTCTCCTTTCTGCCCGTTCTTCATTTCCTTATATTTCCTTTCCATCTCTTTTCCCTTCTTCTACCTTTTCCTTCTTTCCTTTCATTTGCTCTTTTTCTTTTTTAATTCTGCAATGACTAGCAATCAAACTTAAGACACTGAACAAGCATCCTATCACTGAGCTATATTCCAAGGCCTTTTTATTTTTTTGTCTGAGATAGGGTCTCACTCAGTCACTTAGGCAAACCTTGAACTTGTGACTCTCCTGTCCCAGTCTTGCACCTATCTGGGATGACAGGCTTGCACCACTATGCTTGGCTCTGCATGACCTATTATCTTTTTTATTACTTTAATTTTAAATAGCTTGTTTCACATGTAAATCCCAGTTCCCTCTCCCTCCTCTCCTCCCACACCCTCCCACTACCCTCCCCAGCCTCCCACTCTATCCTCACTTCCTTCCACATAGGGGATATCCAGAGTCTGTCATTTCACTCAGGGCAGGGTCCAGGCACTCCCCTAAGAGTCCAGACTGAGAGAGCGTCCCTCTTTGTGTTATGGACACAAGAAATCCCTTTGTATACCAGGGATAAATACTGATCTACTGCCCAGTGACCTATTATCCTACATTCTTCATTATTCTACATCGTCATTTCATTTTGCCCCTAACTCTTCAAACCAAAGGTATTTCATTCATTCCAATATAAAGACAAAAAATCATATTTTTAAGGATGGCATAGTACTATTTCCTTGATATGTGATCTTATCCATGGGACAGGCCAATAGAAACAACCACCTCATCTTAGCTCTTACTTTCCGGGACACCAGGACCCAGGGCTTTAGAAATAGAACACCTAACAAGTGAGAGGGCCAGGGGACCACATCTCCAGTCCCAATGGCAGTTTTCCACATGGGACTTCTGATCATTTTCTGACCCAAGCAAGTTGTATTTAGGACTTGATGGGAGGTAGAATGATCCAACGCTGCTGGATGTTGAGGTGATCGTTTCTAGAATACGCTCAGATTTGCAGCTAATTTGCACATGTGTCCACAAGTCATTCAACACCTTGAAATATGCAAAACTATCCAAGGGTCTTTCCTTCCTCAGTCTGGACACAGTTTCTAGAATGGCACAGGGGCTTCCTCTCCATCTTCAGCTCTTCTTCATGTGCATAATATGCATCTGAGCCAGTGGGTTTGCCTTGCATCCAGATGGGATGTATAGAACAAGTTTCCTTGGACAGTGTTGACAGCTTTGTTCTTTACAGTGCTGTGGTAATAGAGACGTCTGGTGCCAATAAAAAATGACAGCACCCTTTCCTCCCTCAACAAGGCAGAAACTAGATTATCATTTCTTGCCTGATGAGAGACTATACATCCCTTATTTCTCTTAATAATTCCTAAGTGGCTGACTTGGATTCTTATGGACTTAGGACTATGGGAGAGAAAGAATATGGCTGAGACACCTTGGGCACATGATCTTTACCGTGCTCCCTACCCTTATACACAAAACAAGAGAGTTCTAAACTTACACTGCCCCAGGAATGGCATTTTTCAAAGCAGTGGTATAAAGTTCTGCTTATTCTAGCACATGAAATCTTCTTTCTATGGGTGTGTAATAAAGAGAAAAATCAGGGAAATCCAGCTATGGGGTCATATAAGGTGTTCTGTGAGGCAAAAGGATGTCTAGTCTCTACTCAGGGTTTCTGATGTGGCAAATACAAAGTGAGGACCAGGAATCAAAATATGTAATATGCTTCTGTTCCCTGCTGATACATAACTGATTTAGGAACCACTAGTCAGGCGATAGAGTTGTTGTCAAATGAAGCAACCCATCCTCTCAATTTTCTCCTTTGCCATCAAAGAATATTTTTGTTCCTTTCTCACCAGAACTAGAACTATTAGCAAGTATTTTTGAGCACCCAGATTAGGTAGGCAACATGTACAAAGCTTTTGTGGAGTATGTCACTGTATATTAATTGGATCACTCAGGCATGCCCTACTTATGAATCCTTACTCTGAGAAAAGCAATGCAAAGTCATTCAGTCAAAGTAAGTCCATATGATCTTTTTCTGTGTGTGACATTGACAAATATCCATCTCCCAGCACCTGAACACATTCCCAGCTCATACCCTCCACAGACAAGCCTGGTTTTATAGAGTCTCCTTGCTGATACACCCAGCAGCTCTTCTCCAAATATCCCTCAATTATGAGTTCCTCATAGGCCCCAGTATAGGACTATTGGTCAGTATCAGATGGCTATTACCACTCTAAAGTGTAATTATTGCATTTTATTTGTAAAGCTGAATGTCATGCAAGAGGGTCAAGCAACTGTCTTGACTGTGTGTGAAGTTTATTCTGTGCAAATTGATAGTTCCCACACAGTGCAAAATTGCTCCCAACTTACACCAGTGTAGACCCAATATACCCATTTTATTCCAAAGGTTGGTGTATATATTTCTAAACAAAATGTAGAAATAGATTTAAGGATTTTAGGAATAGTATATCAGATTTTCTATACTCATCAGAGAAATAATATCAGCAAAGAATGAAGATGGATTTTAATAATGTGAAATACTGGGGTTTGTGTTAGAGGCTGAAATATTAAAAGCAAAAACTGTACTTGTGATGAAAACAAGGGCTGTATTTGATGTTTATTGGTCAAAGAGGATGGGTTCAGCCTGGTACATAAATTCTCCCATCCAGGAAATGTCTTTACTTTGGTACCTGTTGATACAGCAAGTGGATGCCAGCCTTGTGCCCTAGAACTTTGTTTTTTGGTTAATAACATAGTATAAAAGGTCAAATTCCAAAGCCTTTTATTATCTGGGGAAGGGGAAGGGCAAAGTAAAAATTAGAATGTTAACCAACAAAAGTTTGTTTCTATTCATTTCATGTGATTTTTTCTTTTGTTTATTAGAACCACAAGTTCAAAATTTATTATAAGAAAAGGTCTTTCCTTTTTTAGGCTCGTTACTTTTATTTTTGAGAAGCAAATGCTGTACAGTTGACAGAATCGAATAACCTTAAAATTGCATGAAGAAGAACTGTTCTTAAATCCACGCAGCATGACTCCGTAGGCAATGTGACAGGACTTGAGCATTCACTGTTGAATTCCCGTGCACACGTTTTATTTTGTTTGATTTTTTAATTTGCATGTCAAGAAACTGGTTCCCTTTCTTTTTCCTCATTATTTCATTTATTCTCTGTGAAGACACTGTACATTTATTTTTATCTCATTTTCTTTTCGTTTGATTTCTTTTCTTCCATAGTGATGTTTAGAAAGGTATTTTTTTGTTTGTTTGTTGGTTTGGTTTTTGTTTTCATATCCATCTTTGAATTCTTTAGGGGTTCCGGCTAACGGGTGACAGGAAAACAATCTCGTTCACATTTGTTGCTTAATGACTGCACATCGTAGTGTTCTTATAATTTCTCTAATTTGCATGTTACAGAACTGAAGCCAGGACAAGCAATAGCAATGACAGCGAGAGAACTTTACCACGTGGTCGTTGACTGAAATAATAATATGCATGTTGTTCTCCTTCTCCCTCCTGCATGCAGGGATTTGGTTTCGTAACTTTCGAAAATAGTGCGGATGCGGACAGGGCGAGGGAGAAATTGCACGGTACCGTGGTAGAGGGCCGTAAAATCGAGGTGCATGTCCAAAATACTTTCCTTTCCTCTTTTTTCATTTATTTTTGTAAATGTCTGCTTCACGCTCATTTGTCCTTCCAGGTGCATCATTGGTGTCTCGTGTGTGACCCTACTCCCTTCTCATTGTTTATATATACTTATATATATATATTTATATATAAAAAGGAAAACTGGCCTTACTTTTTTGTTACATTTTACTTTACATTATTCTTTATATTACTGCTGGAGAGTAGATGGCAAAATGTGAGACGAAAGGGAGGTTAATATTAAAGGTTCTGTTTGTTTGTTTTAGTTTATTTTCCATGTTTTATGAACAATGGGTGCAATAGGTTCCAGAGAGGACATAGTATTCAAACAAAACCAAATATATATCAAGTTTTGTTTTGTTTTATTTTGTTTCTTTTTTAGTCCACATTAGGGTTGAAGAGGGATCCACAGTGGTTTGCAAATTAGACCAAATTTCAAAGGCAATGACATTCAAAATATTAAAACAGAAAAAGTGAGAGGCACTTGTCATTCATTAAATCTTGTTGTTAAAAACAAAAACCAGCGTCATTTTCTGTATTCTGTGATTAGACATTGAATAGGCAATCAGGACTTCCCACTTAAGTCATGGCCCCTGTCAATTGGAAATGTAGACCCCATGTCCTGACATTCAGCACCTGCCCTTTGTACCACTGGGTTCCTCTTCAACACAATCAAAGGGTCATATTTGTTAAAACTTGAAAAGAAAAAATTACCAGTTAAAAATGCTTTAGTCTTTGGAGTAAGATGTCGCATATTTTGCCTTTTTATTTTCCCCCCTCGACGGTAACGCTTAGGCCCCTCACCAAACCCTCAGTAACCATGGTAACTGTATACAAACCCATGCTGGCGATGGTGGTGAATGGTAAGTGACGAGTCCATCTGCCGCTTCACGTATTTAGTGCTGATATATCTCTATACATATCTCTCTACCACGTGGATTTTTTTGACTTGTTGTATTAAGTTTTCTTGATGCTCTATTTTTTTGGGTCTTTGGTACGCCTGTAATTGAGTGTACGTTCTAAGCTAGCCTGAGAGGCTCTGACTGGACTGAGTTATGACCAGTGCACATCTTACTCAGATCGTTAACTCCATATTGTGTTACACAATGCACCCTCTCTTTTATCTTTTGTTAGCTGTGACCTTAAAGCTTGAATGATTCGTTAATTCTTGCAATGTAAAAGGCTCTTGTTCCAAGTGTTGAATGCTAGATGTTGCTTCCCCATGGTTTCCCTTCCCAAAGTGTTGCACACGGCTTAAACTTGTCTGTTCCTTTCTTTGACATTTATGTCCCCTGTACTTTGTCTCCTCCCCCTTCTCCACTGCATGCCCCTTTCATATTAACTTTATTTTCTGTTTAAAAACCTATATCTTGTTTCTGTGTTACCATGGAGCACACGCATGCTTTTAAATCTTCAATTATGCAGTATCTTTTAATTTGCTTTTACTGTCTCTTTATTAAACTTTTAAATGGGATGACATTGCTTTATTGAAATGATTCGTAAGTTAAATTGGTTATGAAGTAAATGTAATTATAAAAATGTATGATTTTTGGGTTATGCACCTATTGCCATTTGTAAATTAAAATGCATTTCAGTTTTTGTTTAAGCTTTTGTTTCTTGGTTTTGATTTCAATAAGTAATCACAGTCATAATGCATGCAACTAATTGAATCATGGGCTGGCCTTGGCATCCAAACTCACTTGAGTTTTCTATGTGTGTAGGTTAATAACGCAACAGCACGTGTAATGACTAATAAAAAGACTGTCAACCCCTACACCAATGGTAAGTAGATACATGCCTACCACAAGACATCTTCTTTGCCTACAAGTCCACAGTGTTCTTTAACATGGGAATCTGTTTCTTTTTCATTCTATTCTTTGAAAGTTTTATACATGTATACATTATATCTTATTACATGTACTCCCGACACCCCTCCAATCCTTCTAAGAAATCCATATCATATCTCTCACCCAACTTCATGTCTTATTTATTTATGTTATCCCATTGATTTCAACTAGGGGTGATGCACTGGTGTCAAATTCCTAAAGAAAAGTGACCTTCCCATGCCTAGCAGCCACAGACTGCCAACAACTCCTCAGCTAGGGGTAGAGCCTGAGGACCCTCCCGCCCACACATGCTGAATTTTTTTCAATTATGGGCAAGTAACTACAGCTGATTAGAGTTCACGTGTGCCATATGCCACGTTGGCCCTACTTAGCTACCGTTTCATTGCTGACCGGCTACAGTGAACAGTCTAGGGTCAATTCTTCACAGCAAAGCAGATGTAGTTTCCCAGTTCAGCCACCCCCACCTCTCTAGAGCAGCAGTTGACCCTCACCAGGGTCATATAGCAGATTTCTGGCAGAGCATATATTTATATAACTATTCTGTCATGGTTTGCATCATTCAATTTTTTTTTGAAATTCTAGCAAATTAAGGAGAGAATACATGTTTTGTTTGTTCATTTTTTCAAAGCCACATATACTTAATAATTTGCCATTCCTGGAAGGGTAGTTACAAAATTTGGTTCTGGCTTTCAGACTTCTGGGTTGTTGAAGTATTATGATGGCTGAGCTCTGTGGGAAAGGAGCTGTCTGAGTGAGTTATTTTTCTCCCATGCACATATTCCTGAGCTCCATAGGGCCAGACAAGTCTATGGAAGTCTACTGCAGAATTTCTGTGACTACCAGGAATATTTCCCAGGGCTTATCATTAAAATTTGGCTGGTACGTGGCTGTGGATGTAGCTCAGTGATAAGGTGCTTACCTAGCACGCGTGAGACTCTGAGTTCAATCCTCACCATCACCAGAAAAAAAGATGCTTCCCATTTATATGAAGAGCTATTAAATATGTTTCCACAGTTTGATCCATTACTCCTCCTCTCCTCAAAATAAGCATTTATAAAGGTATAAAAAAGGAGAATTCTGTTTTTACTTTAATTAGAAAGATGATTCAGCAGGTAATAGCTCTAAATTCAGATCCCAACACACACATAATAGCCAGATGTGGTTAACACCTGCCTGTTTGGACATATCTGTGGGAGTGGAGGCAGAAGTTGACTGCTGCTGGTTGGCTATAAACTCAACTGCAGCTTCAATGAGAGATCCTGTCTTGGAAAGAAAAATGCCACAGAACAATTGACTAGGACACTCTGACCTCCTAATCTGTATATTTGTATACACACACAACAATATATATAATAAGTAGCAAATAAGCAAGTGAAAGTGATCCAGTAAGGCAAAGTATAAGAACTTGATAGAATATTACACCCATTAAAGTAAGCCATATCAATGTAATCATGGGATTACAATGAGAAATAAAGATGTAGATAATGAAACCCTCCCCTCGTCCACAATCTGATTTTAGATGATGACATTAATTCTGCCAAAATGGTAATGCTGTGTTGGACATCAAGACTGAAAGGTAGTTTTTCTTTGCTTTATAGGTTTTTAAAAATAATATAATTTCATTAAATGCAATAAGAAAATATGTAGAATTAAGTTTTGATTATGTGTGAAATACAGAGTTATTTTAAAACAGAAATCAACCAAAGAGGAAGCAAAGTGAAAATGTTTTGACTAGCACTCTTGCCAGCCTGGCTTCTCTCTCCCTCGAGAAGAAGCCGCTGTTATAGACTGTTGTCTATGGTTCATTTTGCAGTATGGTATTAAAAGTATGATCTACATATTCCTGACATAAGTAGCATTATGACATGCATAGCTTTTAATCACTCTTGTGAATCAATTTGGGTATTTTTAGATGCTGACTCATAGAGATGGAACTAATTCTCTCTCATGGTTATATAGCATTCCACAGGTTGGTTCAGATCTTCAGTGTTCACTGACATTTCATTATTTTTGTTTCTATTTTTTGTACTTTAACAAACGCATTCACATTTTATAGTTTTTCTACTACTTTTTTCCTGCTGGTGGCAACCGATTTGACTATATCAGTGTGTTCTTACCTTGAAACATAATGCTATTAAACAGGTATATACCCTCAATGTAACATGAAAAGGACAGAAGAATAATTTATCCTGCTGTCCAGTTTTCCCAGCCTCAGCAACCAGGGGCATGCCCTTGAAATGGGTAAGCAGTTTTTCTGAGTGCCCAACATCTCTGAATTACATGTTTATGAGGATTTTCTATTTGGATAAAATTCACAGCTCTGCAACTGGCAAGTGTTCACACAGACATCCACCCAAATGTTGTACATTTGAGAATTCATAGCATAGCTATTGTATGTTTTGGTGTGTATGCTGCACAGTTGTAGGTGTGCTCAAATTCCCCATGAAGGTGTGAAAGTGTAAAGTGGAAAAAAAACCAAATGAACAAAAGAGGAGACTGGGAGGAGGACTCGGTGGTAAAGTGTAAAGTGCGTATGAATGAGGACTGGGGTTCAGATTCCCCGCACCCACAGAAATGTTAAGGAGATGTGGCTGTTTGACTGCAGTGTCCACATTTGAGAGATGGGGAGATGAGGGATTCTTAGAGCAAACCACAGCACTATTTAGACTAGGTGAATGAAACATGGAGCTATGCTGAGAGATCTTCCTTAGTAAAGAAAGTGGAGAGGGGTGGAGGAAAACACAAAAACGGTGACATCACCCTCTGGCCTCTATAGAAACCTGTCTACACATGTGTCCACATGAATGCAAACATGCATGCATATTCACATGTGTACTACACACACACACACACACACACACACACACAAATGCAAAGCAAAAAAACTCAAATGTAATTCCATAAGCCATTTAATGTATATACGTATTTATTTTTGAAGGAAGAATTATTGATCAATTCCATATCTAGGGACTAAAAACCATCTACTATAGGAATTTGGAGTGTAATTCAAATCCATTCAAAATACTGGTATTTCTGTAACATTATATGTTATGTATTATATGAGACATTTCGATGACAGTGCACCAAAATGGAGGCCTAGAGATACAACATCATCATCCCGTGTTGAAGAGGCAGAAACAGAGAGCATAGAAGTAGTGATTGGAGCCTTTTTGTTTCTGTATGAAGTATCACTGCTGTAACTAGAATTTTCTACATATTATAATGTACTCAACTGGGAAAATAAAATCTTGAGGAGGGTGTGGTTTTGTAAGAGACTGTTTTAGGGAAGTTCTGCATCACTGGAGAAAGTTACCTGGCATAGAGAAGGAAGGTTCATTTAAGCCCATAATTTCAAAGGGTCCCTGCCATAACCCATGGCCATGTGACCTGGGAGACAGAGCATCACCAAGGTGAGAAATGGGACAAACAGGAAGCTAAGACATGGACTTGACCCAAGGACTGTGAATAACCTTCCCCGCCATGCTCACTGAGGCCAGCTTCTAAAGGAGGCTGCATCTTCCTCCTTTCACCTCCTCCCTCAAATGCCATCATGTGTTGGAGGTTAACAGGCTACATCTCATCCAGTCACTTCCCAAGCATTATAGAGTGCCTGATAACCACCAGGTCCTTTCCACATAAGCCTCTGAGGAGCATTTTGTATTTAAACCATGATAGATAATTTGTCAATACCCATGATGCCATGTTGGAGTAAGAAACTTGAGGCTTACTTCTGAGTTGTATGGCTTACAAACCATAGAAATAATATGTTTTGCCAAAATTATAAGCTGGCCAACTTTGAATCCCAAGTATTGTATGGAAAATGTAGTTGCCAATGTCATGTTCTTGAGTTCCTTTAGCTATACATCCAGCTGCAATTTCAACAGCTTCAGGGTCTCCAATGATGCCTAAGAGGGGTTGTAATGCAATGAGAAAAGTGAGGAAGGGTGTGAAGGGGGATCTGCTGCAGAAGATTGGGACTAGTATCAGTGTGGAGGATATAGGAGTCATGCCCATGGCTTTCTGATACAGATATGATAGAAGACAATAGAAGGAGATATAGAAGTCTTGCAGAAAGTTTGGTAAAGGCATAATTAGACTTTCTCTGTTTCTCCAAAAAAGCATGCCTGTGGATGGAGAGGGCATGGGGTGGGGTAGAAGATATGCTGTACTCATTGGGTAACAAAGATTGAAACCATGTTACAAATTGAGAACTGGATTTAGAGGGATTTCCTGAAAGTCTACAAAACATAGCTGTTACATAGGATTCTGTTTCCTTAGAAATTTTTGCAAGGCTGGAATGGAGCAAAAATACCCAAGACTATGGGGATAGGCAGTCTTGGCTCCAGTGTGGGCTTTTCGACATGATTCTGTGCAGCAGGAGCTGGACATACGTAGGAACAGACATCCTGGGTGTCTGGGATCTTCAGAGGGAAGTAAAATACCACCAGAGTGGGAGGCAGGGACTGGGCTTGACTGATGCTTGTGGATCAACAGTATTTGATTACAGAGAGGCCTTAGTCTTAATTGGCTGTCTCACTCCTTGTTTCTGTGCCAAGATTGTAGGAGCCAAGATTCAGATGCTAAATGGAGCTGGGTAAAGGAAACAAAATCAAAACCAGAATCTGAGCTCAGTCTTGGGTTTTCATTGTTTGGGATATTTGATTGTTTGTACATTTTTTAAAAATCTGATTATCATTTGACAGTCTCCTACATGTGTATGATACATTAGAGTCACAATCATCCCTACACCCTCTCTTAGCCTTGACCCCCCCCCACCAAATCTCCATTTTTGCCACTTCCTTGTCTCTTTGTTTTCAGTTTGGTTTTACTTTGGGCCACACTGTGCTTTATCAAGGTCACTTGTTTGGGTATGAGTGTGGGACTGCCCACTTGAGCCAGAGTAACTCAACCATGACTTCTTCAATGAAAACAATGATTTTGTGAAGCTGCCATCAGCTCCCCTGGGTAGGTGGGCCCCATGAGTCCCTTCCCATGTAGGGTTGAATGTTTAGAGGCTTGCTCTTGTGCCTACCCTAAGCTATTGCAAGTTCCTGAGTGCTACAGCACTGTCATGTCCCCAAAACAGCATTTTACAGCCTCTATCTTCTAGCTTGGCTTTGTTTATAATCTGTCTCCACCACTGAACTCTATGCCTGCCTTGATTATTACTTTTCATATTGAAACAGGGTCTTACTAAGTTGCCCAGTCCAGCCTTGAACTCAAACCGTAATTGTTGTAGGTTTTGAACTTTAGATCTTCCTGCCCCAGGCTCCCAAACATCTAGGATGACAAGCCTGACTGAAAAGCAGTCTGAAACATTTATCTTCTGTTTGTTTACTGGGTAAAGCAAGAGATTTCTCTCTGAGCAGACAAAAACAGCCCAGTTTCACAACAGAAGGCCACAGCAGGGAGCTTTATTTTTTGGCTGACTGTTACTGTCTGGGCAGTCACACATCATAGCCTCTGGTCACCTCTAATAAAGCTATCTGAGGGGATTCCTAACATAAAGTTGCCATTTCTTCCAATGGTTCAAGAGAACCAGAAATCCCACACTTTAGATGAAATCTATATGTTGGCTATGAATACATGTTACTAACAACAAGAAAAAAAATGCCGAGTGACTCAAAATAAACGACCACACAGCAGTGTGCTCAATGTTTGAATAACTGCTTTGTTTGTCGTTTGGACATTGCTGCCTGCTCTATTTAATCTATGAGGTCTCTGTTTAGAATGCAAGCAGGTTATTTTCTAAAGTTTCATCACATTCACTCTAGCAAAGCTTGTACACCAGGGATCTTGTCCAGCATTTTTCTAAAGCAGGCTAGCACATAAACCTGGACAAGCTACATTTCAGGGAGGTGGGGAGTCTGATTTGATGCAACTCCCTGAAGACCCATCTCAGAGGGGTGAAGCTTCATGCGCCTGCCTGGGCTTTGCTCCATTGCCTTGTTGGATGGGACCCTGGGAGGCTGGGGGTGGTAGGTTTTATCTGCTATTCTCTTTCTTTTGTAAGCCTCATTGTACGGTTTAATGTCCCTGATGAAAATCTCAGAGTTTGTGAAGCCTGGGGACATACATAAACTGTCTCGGAAATTAAAATTGGGATCATTTTGTCTGTCTTCCTGACAGTGCAGGTTTGTATTTCCAGCAAGGTTATCCCAGGGGTCTCTTTCAGGTACTAGAAGGAGCCACAGAAAGGATAAGTCCATTTGCCTGTGATTTGCATACATTTACATAAGTCTACTTGAGGTCTGTTAGGCTGAGCAAGTCTGTGCAGAGGTGACTTTCAAGGTCAATTCTCATTGCTTTCACTGGAAGATGGCAGTCCCTAAGAGGTCCTTCATTGCATGTAGAACATTTAGCATCTGGAGGGCAGAAGGAAACCAAATCCTAGCCAGAAGGAAATGAGACCACTCAAAAAGCTCTTTATGCCTTCTTATTCTTTACAATAATCCCAAATCCAGGTTTATGGAATATTTAGTATTTGCCAAATGCTTTTAAGTGCCTGGAGCTCATGCTTGACAATCTTGCCCAGCTTTCCTCTCAAGTCTAATGAAGAATGATAAAGAAAAGAAACAATAAGAGAAAGGAAGAAAAGAAGGAAGGAAGGAAGGAAGGAAGGAAGGTAAAGGAGAAAGAATAAATTCAGATAGAGTTAGCACACATGCAGAAAATTCAACTGGGCAATGATGAATCAATGAGTACTCCTAAGGGAAGGCAGGACATTGACATCAAGTGTCATGTTTTGGAAAGGAATTGGAGACCCAGGCAACACCTGGATACTTGGAAAGCTTTGGGAAGCATTCTCCAAGAAAGGCCCGGAAATCTCTGGATGTTCAGTTAGTCTGTGTGGTTTATTCAGATTAAAACGATCAACACTCTATATCTTGGAGAGATGGAGCAGTGGTGCAAAGTGAATGGACCTTGTTTAGATTGTGCTCTCTAGTCCAACACAAGGAGTTTGTGCTTATCCTGAGTCTAGAAGGAAGAGAGCTCTGAGTAGAGGAGCAGAGCATGTGCTGGTTTCTTCCATAAGTCTTTGGCAACTGTAAATAGAGTGGATGGGGAGAAAGGAGAATGAATGGATCTTTTATTTTATATTGTTCAAAGATACTGATTTTTAAGTAAGGTAAGGTATCAACTATTGAGCAGAATTTTGAGTGACCAGATAGATGGTAATGCCATTTGCTGAAGGGGAAGACTGAGTGAGAATCAGTTTTCATGGGAGAAGGCAGAATTGAGGGTGGCATTCAATGAAAGTACAAGATTCAAAAAGATATTCAAGCGCCCTGCTTGGGAGTGGGAAGCCTTGTTTAGAAGAAGGGTCCAAGGTAAGAAGGGACATGTCACAATCATTAATGCCCAAGGTTGATTTAATCAGGCTCTCACATTGCAGTCAGGTTCTCATATAGCTACCATACCTCAAGGTTCAAGACCAAGCATTCCCCTGCCTCTAGCTAGGTCCAACTTACTGGAAGCTATTCAACCTTCCAAAACATCACCACCTACTAGGGACCAAGTGTTTAAACACAGGGGCCCACAGGGAACATGTCTCATTCAAACCATAACAGCTTTTAAATATAAGCCATTTCTATTCTCAGGTCTATTTACTGAAAGTTATTTGGTATTTGGCCCTTGATCTGAGATACAGGGGCACACAGGGTGGAGCTCATATAGGAAAATGCTTTGTAGGCTTGAATGGAGTACTGAGTTCAATCCCTAGCACTTCATAAACTGGGCATGGTATCCCAAACCTATAATCCCAGTATTCAAGAGAAGGAGGCAGGAAGATCAGAAGTTCAAAGCCATCATAAGTTACATAATGAGTTCAAATTCAGCCCAGGCTACATGAGATTCCTGGGCTACATAAGACCCTGTTTCAAAAACAATTCTTCCACTATAATATCCTTAGAGACTTACTAGGAAAATCAGAACCGATCACAAGCTCTAAAGCATAAAGGTTCTTTGCTGACATTGCAGAAACTAACGAAAAACAAAACAAAGAAAAAGCCAGGTTCCTAATGTGTTTTCCAGTTTATAGCTGTTCTTGTGTGCTGTGGAACCACAGTTCACAGCTAAGATATATTTCCATCAATAACATTTAGCAAACCAGAAACTAGTGTTAATGTCACAGACAGGTGACTTGAAAGTTACCTTAGATATTTAGTACTGACTAAGATGTTTCCAGTTCCTGAATGCATTGAAATGTATTCCACACTAGATCTCTGGGGGATAAACTACTGCTGTCTCTATTATTCACAAGGTTCACAGCAGAGAATTGGAAGTCTCTACTATCTAAAGCTCATAACCAGGAAGGCTAATGTCAGAATGAGTTCCCTCAAAGAGTTCTCTTTATGCAAGCTTCGAAATATCTCTGACTTTAATGCAAGAAAATATGTGTTGGAGTACCTAGCAATGTTACATGAAATAATACAAAAAATGAAATTATGATAGTGAACTTACTGATATGATTAATCACAAAGTGTCTTTTTTATAAGGTTCACCTGTAGCCGGTCAGTGGTTTTTCATTGCATTCATTTGAGCGAGGAGAAAACCAAAAACATAGACTCCATAGTTGGCAAGCAACTTTGTGCCTGTTCAATTTACATAGCCTTAAATTCTCCGATGCAAACAAGTGCACCACCTAGGTCTGTTTTCACTGTGGTTACCTTGAAGGGATGGAAGTTCCTGACTCAAGTGTGATGTAATCCTTCTGTGCTTATTTTAAGGCTGGAAATTAAATCCAGTTGTGGGCGCCGTCTACAGCCCCGACTTCTATGCAGGTAAGGAACTTTGCTTTGCACGCCAAAGTCTTGCTTGGTCATTTCTAAATGTGCTTTGCCTGCCCCTAAATCATGGGTTTTGTACCTCAATCCAAATGAAGAATCCTGTCCTAACAAGTTCTCAATGATTTCTTGGGCAAAACCACGTGTGTTTACAACTCTCCTATGATTGAGGGAAGTTCAGACCTGTTAGGTAAGCAAGTAGCTATGCCACTTATGGCACTTCACATGGGTTTGCCCTAGAAAAGTGTCGGGGTCTTGCTCAGCAAGGACAGATGGATGATGGTTCGTTCCCATTTTAATGCATCAACCCTGCCATGCATCTGTTAGCTGTACATTTCATTGGAGATGCCTTCCTTTCCTAATAAAGCAAAGGGTTGAGTCAATCATTTCAGCAAAGTGCAAACTGAGAGTTTCTAAGATAGAGTTTATGCGAAAGTTAGGGGGAACAAAATAACTTAGGTCTTTCTTTCTCCATGGATCAATTTGGCTTAGCAAATTCACTTTTCTCCATGCATTTGAATCTTTCCTCCCCTCTTCCCTCCCTTTGTACCAAACTTAGTAGGGAAATCTACCCACTCAGAAAACTCGGTGAGCAAATCAGGGAGGGAGCCAGAAGCTTCCACAGCTAAGATTCTGTACTTTGATAAGGCAGATTAGCATGTCACTGTTTCTGAGGTCTTGCTACTAATGCTGTCTTGAAAGTGTGGTACCCTAGTAGCATCCATTTATTAAGGGTGTGAGGAAGGAACCTTCCTATGGCAAGCCTCTTGAACAAGGTACAATTGGTAAGTAGTTGATCTGAGCTACTCACTTAGTTGTGGAGGTAAATCTTGGTTAATTTCTTCCTGTTGCCCAACTCCTTTCACTTTTCTAAACCTAACATCACTTCTGGAGGATGTGAAAGCAACAGAACTTAGCTATTCTTATGCACAAACCAAACTATGAAAACTTGGATAAACCTGGGGAAGGGACATAAAGAGCTGAGATTTGTATTTCAGCTATACAGTGTTTGTGATTCTCTTCCCGTGTGAGTTTAGATTAAGATTGCTTCACTCTGTAGCAGCTATGTTCACTCTTATAGGGGAGAGTACACATGGTGACATGGCTTCTCAACAATTCCACTGTGTACCCTACCTCCTGCGATGAAACACAGGAACATAAGAAACATGGAAATTGAACCAGACAGCCCAAATTCTTATGCTTCTTCTCTATTTGCCAGATGCGTGACTCTGGACAAATTATTAAGCCTTTCTGTGACTGAGTTTCTCCCTCTCTCAAATGGGGATTATGGTAGTATAGTGCTCAGGTGCTTATTAGAATATAAGGAAGGGCTATATGAAGCCCTGGATACATACTCAGTATCATATAAATATTTGTTAAATAAAACTGGGCAAGTTAATACTCAACCTTTGTGTCATGGTTGGAGGGAACTTGTCAACAGCTGATACTGCTGAGCCCTGAAAATACTGCTGGACTCAGGTTGTTTTCATTACTTGTAAGAGGACTTGCCTGTCACTTCTCAGCACACCTATTGGGCTGTTAACTCCTGGACTTAGGGGTGTGGCTCTCTGTTCAGGAGCAAGATGTACCTTGGAATGTATTGGAATTCTGGGGTCCATCTTTTCCAAAGCTGAAAATATACAAAAGCCTCCCCAAAGATCAGAGATCTTGCTTCTACATACCTATAGAGACAGCCAGGAATCCACAGCAGTTGTACCCTAGTACTCTAGACTCTGAATCATCATGATTTGTGCCTATGTTCAGGTTTTCTCTCTGGAGAATTGGGGTCAAGAGCAAGAAGAAGAAAGAATTCCTTTGGGGAGTTTGGCACAGATGTGGACATGATCTGAGAGCACTGTATAGTTTTCACCCTTGCCTCTACCAACCAGGATAATGTCAACTCATTCCTTTATTTGGGATCCTACCCCACAGTGAATGCCTGCTGGTATTGAAGAGCACAAAGAACAGGGTTAACTGCTTTACAGATGACAGCATAAAGGAATCTGCATTCGTTCAATAGCATCAGAACATTAGTTGAAACTAGATCAAAGCCCAGCCTTAGCAGAGAGGTCTCTGGGTAGAGAAGGAGAGAGAGCTCAGAGAGGTAATGTAGACTCAGTATTTTCTGCAGGCTGGCACTATTCTAAGCACATTCCATACAAGATTATATTAAATCCTTGTGGCACTTATGCAAATTAAAACACAAAAGTATACAAAGGGTATATGTCTCCTTTAGGGTTTCACAATAAAAGTGGGGTTTTGATCAATCTCAGGTGCTGAGTCCTTTGTAAGTAGATACCATGACTTCTTATATTTTATAAATCGTAAGTCTAGATTTCTGTGGCTGTGCCCTCTGGTTATCCCACTAAGTGCAAACAAGGAAAGTGAGACAAGCCACCTGCTCATTGCTCTAGCACTATCACCACAGTTAGGTATATGAATTGGTTGTGTGAAGACCACCTTGAAGAAACCTGAACAAACAATAATGTACTATGAGATTTGCTCAGTAAATCAAAGTTTTGGTTTTTGTTGTTTTTGTTTGTTTGTTTGTTTTTAACAAGGAAGCTGGCATAGAAGTGTGTGTATACATCTCAGGACTTGGAAGGCTGAGGCAGGAGAATTGCTTTCAGTCTGAGGTCAGAATGGGTAATAAATTAAAACACTGTTGTAAAAAAAACAAACAAACATACACATACATACACAGCAGAAAAGTAATAGAGAGAGAAAGGAGGCTGAGTCATTAGCTCAGTTGATAAAACATTAGCCATGTAAGTAAGTGTAAAGTCTGGGTATGATGACCCATGCCTTCCAACTGCACACCATGACTAGGAATTTACAAAGCATCTAAACTTTGCTATAAAACTAGTCTGGATTTCTCTTGCAATTTGGAGGGCTCCTGCTACCAGAGATAAAGACCTTGCCATTGGCTTGCTTTGGATATTTCATAGGTCATCTCTATGTGTGTCCAAAATGCAAAGCCAGACTCATTAGTCATTTCTCAGTGTAAGATGTGTTCATGACAGTTTTCATGACACTCCCATAGCATAAAGCATAATTATTGATTTTCCTCAAGCTTATGCAGAATGAACCATCCAGCCTCCAATTGTCTCTCAAAATGGGGCATGGAAAGTTCACAGATTTTGTAAATTAAAATCAATATTTTCAATCTCTCCTAAAGGTAATTTTCCTAATTTAGTGGACTTTCCCCTAACATTTATTTTCTCTTTTAATTATAAAATGGCAAGTTATTGATTTTCCTATAGAACCTTCTGGTGCCCCCTCCCCCGTGCATTTTTATTGCTGATGTTGGATGGGGGTGGGGAGGGAGGGCACATTTCTTAATGAAGACCTTTAATTACTAGCTGAACAGTATTAATTTGTTTTGATATACTATGACTTTTGCACGTACACACACACACATACACACACACACACACACACACACACACACACACAAAACCCTGGGAAACATTCAGAAAGGCATTTTGGAGATTGTATTTTTTTTTCTGGTTTTACCTCCAGTCATACTTACTGTAAACTCTTTTAAATTCTTATTGAATGCAAGTGTGATGAAGCAAATATACATAAATCTGCATATTCTAGGAACAGATATAAATCTTTTCCAAAGACAGGTGGGTGTTTTCTTATAAAGCTAAGCAGCATTGATTATTTCCCCAAGTCTAATTATCTGCAGGCCCTGTGAGGTTTATTCTCAAGACAAATGATTGATAAGTCAATTAAGGCACAGATGGGTCTTAAAGATTTTGACCAATATGTATGGCCATACCATCTTAGGGTTTAAATAAAATTTGGGGTGCTAATAGAAATAGGATATCTGTGGGTTTTGGCTCCCATTGCTGTGCCTCAAGTTACTGGGTGTAATTAGGATTTGCATGTCTAAGAATCAGAATAAAGAAAGCTCTTAAGGGATTCTTACCATCCCCCTGTCCATAGAGAAACTTCTTGCCAATTCTAATAGAACATTTTGAGACCTGGGGAGATAGCTCAGCTGGTAAAGTACTTGCATTGTATTCATGAGGACCTGAGTTCAATCTCCAGTACTCAAGTTAAAAGGGGAGGCAGTCCAGCACATGTCTGTCACCTCAGCCTGGGGAGGGAGAGAAAGATAGGTTCCTGGAACCACACAGCCAGTCAGTCTAGCCTACATCTCAAGCCCCCTGCTCCAGTCTCAAAAAACAAGGTAGATACTTATCCTATTACCTCTACATGTCCACACAAAACACACATTCATGTATACACATGTGCACACACACATGCACACACATACAAAAATCCTCACCACTTGAAAATGTAGTGTTTTCTTTTTTTTTAGAGATGATACCTATCCAGTAAAATGGTTGATTCAATATACCTTTAATGTTCATAATAAGTGAAGCAAAATAAATAAGAAACAGAAGGTGATTCAAAGTTGTCATAGTAGTACTGATAAATGGCACCGTTCTGATCCTCAATTGCCAGTAAGATCCACAGGGCAGAGCTTCCCCACACTGTACATCATATCAGCCAGCTCATTTCTGTGATTAAATATTCCATCAGTGGGGCTAGAAGGTGGCAAAGCTTAACAAGATTCAGGAGATGTAGCACTTGAACACACATAACTCACTCCCATGGTTCAGGAACACCTAGCCTGCAAAGGAAAATTGCAATTTAGTTACATTACTCCAGGAGACACAATCGATAGAGAAAGGAAAGGAACTGCTGGTGAATTGCAGATCAAAGATGGGGTTATGTCTCAAAGATGAGAAAGGTTACCTTAGAAAGAAAGGGACAAAATAAGGAGAGGCATCATATGGCAAGTGGAAAACTAAGATTTTGGAGGAGGGGATGTGGCCCTGTTGCCAATTATTCTCATTAGCTATATTTGAGAAGGGAATAAGGAGCCTTGGTTGATACACCTAAAACTATTTTTGTTTGTTGTGAAAGGGGGGGTAACAAAAAGGTACTAAAAGAAAGGGCAGGCTAGACCTCAAAGTCTC